CCGGGCCCGGGGCGCGACCTCGGCCCGGCCTCCCGCCGCGCGGCTTCTCCGCGTCCCCGCGCCCTGCGCCCGGGGAGAGCGGGGCCGAGCAAGGAGGGTATTTCGAACCTTCTCGCCCAGAGGAAGGGACTGTCGGGCGTCCCCTTCCCCGCCCCCACCCCGGGGAAATTAAAGTGACCGGAGCGGATGTTCGAGGGAGCACCGGGGCTGTTTGGGGTTCTGGGTGGATGCCAGCTGCTTTGGGCAGCAGATGCGCGCTCTTACCCCCGCTCTCTGCAGCGCGTCTCTCCCGGTCCCCGGAGTTGTGCTCTTCTTAGCAGTGTGGATTTTAGGGCGCCTTGCGTTGGGTTTGGCTCGCTCTGGGTGCGGCGGGAGGCCAGCCCCAGCGCCACCGCTCACAGAGGCGACACCTGCAGAGCCAGGGGACCAAGGGGCTGCTCTCCGAGGGCGGGGGGCGGGGGGAGGGCGGCGTTTCCTTCTCCCCGGCCAGAGGTCACAGGCGGCCTTGTTCCCACCAGTGAAGCCCTGTCAAAGGAGGCTCCCGACCTCAGGAAGCCGAGAAAGACCAGTAGCCAGTGCGGATTGTCCTGTGCGCAGCACACGGACGGACCCTCGGCGGCCTGACGGTCGGCACCGCGGTGCTGCGGACGGGGGCGATGACGAATCCAGGGTCGTTGGGTGGGCTGGGCTGGGGAGTCCGCCTTTATACCCCGGCTGTTAGAGTGCAGTTTTTGAGAAGCGCATAACCAGGTGTTTTGTTTCGGAGATGATTCACTCTCAAATCCTGGGGTCTTCTGAGACAGACAGTTTAGAACTCCAGATTCACCGTTTTGTCCCCGTTCCCCAAAGGTAGCGTAACCATTTGAGCTCGCCTAAAAACAGAAACCAGCCACCTTTTACGCAGATGGTGTTCCCGGTTTGCTAAAATAGGTAACAAGGCATACGGCAGTCTCCGTCTTGTCAGAAAGCATGATCGCTAATTAACGATCTGTCTCTTTAAAAGACGCCGAGGGGGACCGGGAGCCCCCAAACCGCTGGCGGTCCCCGCTGCAGTGGCGACGGCAGGAGGGCGCTTGCTGCGCGGTCCCTTCGCGTACCGGGTCCTTGACCAGCGCGCCGGGAAGGTGTCCTCGCCGCTTTGCAATGAAGAACTACATAGATGACCGGTCTTGATTTGTTACAGACGTTAACAAATTACTCCACCCAAGATTATTTTATGATCTTTCAGCAGCTTACTTTGAACTTTATGTTTAAGGTGTTGGGTTGTTGGTTGTAGCCGAATTTAACTGGTATTTTATTTTGTCTCTAACTTTGTTTCGTTGCGCTGTGAAGAATCAACAAAATAAAACATTTAAAGACCTTATATTTTTCGTCTGATTTGTTAATGAAAGTGTCCCGGTGCCCTGGTGGTTTCAGAACCTCGGGATGAAGGTTAGTAGATAAATGACTGGAGTTCAAAATTTTTAAACCTGACTTCCTGGTTTGTAAAATAACCCAGTGAACTGTCTACTTTAGGTCAAGTTCAGGCACAGGGTGGAAATGTAGGGACTGAAGGAGAGTGGGTGGGAGAGAGAAGTGAGGTAGGCAATTCCTGGAATTAGTTCTCAGCCCAGCTTGGGGGATGAGTTTTTTTTTTTTTACTACAACTTCCTCCTCTGAAAAATGGGTTAGGAAATACATTTATGATGAAATTATTTTACATCTTATCATCTTTCTTGGAAATCCACTTTTTCTGTCTTGGACAAAAGCTTAAACAATATCACACAGCTGTGAGCTTTCCCTTCTGTTGTTTAAATCAGGTTGGTGTTGTCTCCTAGGAAATTATGACCTTGGGCATCATTTTATTCTATGAAGCGAAGAAAGATCTTCTGTCTGGTTGGTGATGTTACAAAGAATTTGGAATGTTGACTTGCTCACATGCAATATGTAAACATTTTGTCGTTATTATTGAAATCCAACCACTGTTTAACAGTGGGAAGAGTAGAGGAAAGATAGTGTCTCCTTTAACCTGTAGAAAATTAGAGAAAACCCAGATGAGGTGACTTACTCAATTTTATCCACATTGGCTAATCTGAGGCGTGTGTACATTTAGGGAAAATGAGCATTCACTTTGGGAACTCGCATGGGGGTGCTGGGAGGATGGAATTACCTTCCCTACCATCCTGGCTAAGTGTCTATTTGCTTAAGGGGGAGGCAGGAGAGGACATAAGAGAAAGTAGCTTTAAGCCTCAGCCCATTTCTGGGAAGAATTCCTCATTCTTCCTAGATTCTGCCATCAGAAAAGTCACAGGCTTTTTTTATATAAGTAAATTTGAATTGTAGCCTTCTGTGTGTTCAATGCCTCTCCTTGCTCACCCTACATCTTGACAAGGGACAGAAAGAAAAATAAAAATCAACAACTAAGTCAAAACCAAATCAAGTCCTCCCTGAAAAGCAATTTTCTAGGAGATTAGAAATAAACAATTCCTCCCACAGTCCCAACTCCATCACCTAAAGGCACCATGATTAGGAAAACCACCTCTAAAAGAAGCAGAAAGCTACAGAGCAGAAAAGGGACGGGTGGTCTCCCTCCTGTCTCTACTTGTAAATTGGAGCAAGTACCCGTGCCTTATAAGAAGGTAACACTATATGTGATTTTTTATTTAACTGAGAAAATCATGCCTTATCATGCTTTCTATAATTTCATAATTTTATTTATTTATTTTTCCCCCAAAGCCCCGGTAGATAGTTGTAGGTCATAGCTGCACATCCTTCTAGTTGCTGTATGTGGGACGCGGCCTCAGCATGGCAGGAGAAGCGGTGCATCTGTGCGCACCAGAGATCCGAACCCAGGTCGCCAGCAGCGCAGCAAGCGCACTTAACCGCTAAGCCACGGGCCAGCCCTATCATGCTTTCTAGAACTGCTAAAGATTGTGAAAGAATTTAACAAGGGTATGCAGGGCTGTTTTGAGTGTCATCAAAGGATTTAAGTTTTCTACCTGGTTATAGCATCTTATTGGCCATTGTGCCAAGCAAGATTAGCAGACCCACTTCTTATAAGGAATTTACATCCTGAAGAATGGCATCGGTGGGCATTCAGGAGTCCTGTAGGGTAAAACAGATCAAAGGTAATTATATAAGGTGTCAAAAATGCAAAGTTAGATCTCTCAACAAATGTCTGTGGCAGGGCAGTATATTCTGCAGGCACAATGTTTAAGCATAGACATCCATGTTCTAGAGCAAGGAGTTGCTTTTGGAAATCTGCAGGCAGAATTTTGCAGAAGGAACAAGTTTAAGCTGATCTTTGAAGGAGTTGGGAAAGCAGAGAGGGTGCAAAGCAATCTCCTTGAGAAAGTCACACCAGGCCTCTGAAGCAAGATGAGAAGGAACACGTGGCTCCCTGCCAAAAAAGGTGCCTGCACCCAGGCAACCACTGACTGTGATTTCAGCGATTATAGTGAACAGATCTTGAGGGGAAAATAGACAAAGACCTGAGAAATTATGTTGTCATACGTGTGGGAAGCCAGGTGAGCAATCAGTACACAGAGAGCAGACTAAAGGCACTATGGGATTTACCCAGCCCGTGGTGATGGTCTATTTATAGGTGTTCTCCTCTAAGGGAAACTGATTACACCAGGTATGAAAGTATCACCTTGTGAAACACATCACTTGGAAGATAAGTGTCCCCATCAAGGAAGAGGCTCCACTCGAAGCATGGAAAGTATTTCACTTTACTGAAGTTCAGATTATTAACAGTGCTTCTACGTTGCCCATCTAGTCTTTGCTGACTTCCCAGGGACACAGGTGAGGCTGGGTCCAAGTTGGCAGTCAACACTCAGGGCCTCAGTGTTCTCATTAGACCTCCTACGCCATAAAGGAAGCCAGGTAGAAGAAGGGCTTTTCTTTCTGCCATACGAGGATACTTTATGAACTTGCCAAGAACAAGATGATGTTTAGGAAGGGCTGGTAAATCGATGCTTTTTCTCACCGTGGCATACAGCGCTTCTACTGGGAAAGTGCATTTCCTCCAGAAGGCATTTTCTTGCTAGCTCACTGCCCCTTCCCTCTTCTGCACACTCAATAAATATTCAATAAGAAGATTACCACCATCCCTGAAGTAGGCTCATGAAGCAACAGATTGAAAAATGTCATGTTTTTCTAAAACACAAATTCACTTTTATCACGCAGATTTTAGTTGTAGGGAAATATTGTTTTCAAGCAGGGTCCAGTTTATCCTACCAAGTATAAGATGTGAGAACATGGTAGCAAGATACTCCTCAAGACCTGCACACAACCTAGCCTCGTTGTATAAGGAGAGGCTGCAAATGACTTCTTCAAGCTGTTCCCATTCTGTCCCTTTTAATTAAGCCCAGTATAAAGGCTCAGATGCCTGATCAGACATTAAGCCCAATTCTCCCTGCTCATATGAGATTAGAGGCTCCATCAAAAACCTTTCCCCTTTGCCTCCAGCTCATGTTGACAGGCCAGAGCGCAGGCTCTGAGCTCAGGGCAAGCAGGTCAACAGACCAAGGCCTTAAACACTGCAGGCTGCTTGATGCTCGGGGGGAATATGCCTGGGTTGAAAGCAAAGAGGATGCATTTCTCCTTCATGCCCAGCCTTCCTCAGTGACCACAGAGGACAGAGCCACAGGTAGACCAATGCCTGGGACAAAAGCCACAGTTGCCGGCTCATATCTCTGAGTCACACAGATGCCATTGGGGGAAGAGACCTTAGAGGTTATCTTTCCATCCTCCTCCCTACTGAATGAGACACCTGAGGCCCAGGAAGGTCAGGAAACATGCTCAAGGCCACCACAGGTAGTTGGAGGCAGCGATGCCAGGGACTGGCACCTGCTTTGGGGAGGCAAAAGTGGCTGCCTTGGTTTGTCCTGGTGGGACTGGAGTCTCCTGGAAACAGGAACCCTGGTAGGAGGTGAGCGCATTCTTCCTGTCCCCTGGACAATCTCTGGCCTCTGGCCTTTTCCAGCCTCTCTGCTCAGCCCTCAGTCTGCCCCTGTGAGTGGCATCCACAAGAAGCAGACTCAGGGCCAATGCCCTGACAGGTGACCCGGCTGCACTTCAGTCACCTGCACTTTCTCCGGAAGCCTCGTCCCCAGCCCCGAGGGAGGCCCCAATTGGTGACAGGGAGCAGCAGAGGCGAGGCAAACCCTTGGAGACATCCTCTGATGGTTACATGTTTGTCATTAGGGTTTCAGAAAGGAATTCTCAGAAGGCGAGGGAGTAGACAGCTGACAGACGAGGGCAGCAGGCAGAGGGGGAAGCAGCATCGTAGCGGCTTTCTCTCCTGTGGCTGCCTTTCAGAGTTTCCACGCAGACACTCAATGCTCTGACCTGATGGACGCTGATTTTCTCAACAGCGTGAACATCTTTTCGCCGAGTGTTCTTCATGGACATGAGTGATTCTCCAAAAGGCTGCTCGGCAGTGGCAAGTGCTGGCTGCCTCCAAACCCCAGGATGGAGGACACGCACCCCTGGCAGTGGGCCCTGCATGTGGAGCCCCAGCCAGAGGTAGGTGATGGGACTAGGGGGGAAAAGGCTCGCCGTGGGCCCCAGCACTGGGATCAAGAAGGGCTATTTTGTCCCGGAAGCTGCTAAGTAATGTGGGTAACTCCTTAGAGAATACCAAAGTCGTACAGCCGGGAGACTTCAGAACAGCAAGATCAGATGAGAACACTCATCTGTAGGGGAAGAAAGAGAGAAAGAGAGAGAAAAAGAAAGAAAGAAAGAAAGGAAGGAAGGAAGGAAGGAAGGAAGGAAGGAAGGAAGGAAGG